CCAATATCTTAATGGTTTTACACACCTTGCATGTACCCATGCCTTAACTGCAATCAAATTATATATAACATATACTCCTCACAAACAGTTCAGCAACATAACTTTTTTTGGTCTCTTTACAGTTTCATTTATTGAAATTGCAAATCATAGAATGATGCAATAGAAAGGTGAAACGTATGTACACACGATTAACAAAATGATATGAAATGGTATTGTGCAATAATAGACTTACAAATCATAAAATGCATGTACCCGTGAAATATTCGTGCAAAATGTGCTGCTTTGATGGAGCAAAATGTTAACATTAAGGTTCAAGTCAGTATTGGACAGTGAAGCCGTGTTCAGTAACACGTACGGCCAGCATTGGCACGAATGCAAGCTTCTACACGTCTTGACATTGACCATAAGCAAATGTTCTGCCATTCTCTCCTGAACTGCTCAAGTTCATCCAGACTCTGGAGCTGAACACTAATACTTGTTGCTTAAATTTCTGTGAGGAGTATATCATCATCAACAACTTGGTATAGTTTAGCGTTGTTCACAGTTTAAACCAAGTAATCAATCTAAAGCACTGGTGGGGCGGTTGGTTAGCCACGTTACCCAAGTGTTTGCTCGTCACGCCGAATGTCCGAGTTCGGTTCCCTACATGGGTACAATATTTGAAGCCCATTTCTGGTATATTGCTGGAATATTGCTAAACGTGGCGTAAAACTAAACTCATTCAAAACAGTACTGACAGTACCAACTTACTTTACCACGACGGTGGTTGCTCCCGCTGCTTGCGAATTGTTGACAACAACCACGTTCGTGGATTGTTGTTGTTGCTGCATCTGTGATAGAACATAAGGTAATATCATGAGTACAGAAATTAAATGAATAGAAGGTTGTTTTACGTCGCAGTCCACCATATCACGGCATACAAGAAGCCTCTTTTCGAATTTGCCCACATTACATTTTTAGGTTTCTCAGTACAATACTATTGTTCATAAGTTTCACCAAGAGACACTTTGGGTTTTCCACACACAGATCGGACATATCGTAGTTTAATATTGATCAACCAACTCTGTTGCTCGCTGATATTCGAGTATCGACTCATCAGACCTGTGACTGATATGAAAAAGATTTCTGTACTAGGAGATAGTCGACACAACACGACACGTAATCATTCTTTACGACAAGAGTGAGTGAGTGAGTATGGTTTTACGCCGCTTTTAGCAATATTCCAGCAATAACACGGCGGGGGACACCAGAAATTGGCTTCACACATTGTGCCCATGTGGGGATTCGTCTTCGGCGTGACGAGCGAACGCTTTAACCACTGGGCTACCCCACCGCCCCCCTTTACGACAAGAACAGAGAACTCGTGGTCTATTCTGCCCTGAAATCACCCCTTGGTCAATCGTTGGTTTGTTTGTTTGTTGTTAAAACGCTGGACTCATTGACATTACAGCTTTATGACGTCAGTATATAAACAGTCGAGTCTGAACCAGACGTGTTTGACTAGCATGGGTTGCCAGAGATCAATTGTAACCCGGATATTAACATATTGGAAAACTTCGGATGCCTCGAAATATTTACGAAGGTCCCTTCAGCTTCGACACAACGGAGTCTGACTGTATATAGTAACGTTAATAGAATACGAGTTCACCGGTTGTGTCGAACTTCGGATGTCTCGAAATACTTTACGAAGGTCTCTTCAGCTTCGACACAACAGAATTTGATTGTATACAGCAACATTTATAGAATACGAGTTTACCGTTGTGTGGAACTTCGGATGATTTACTTCGACACAACGGAGTCTGACTGTATATAGTAACGTTTATAGCTCACCGGCATCATTGCCGGCATCATTTGTGGCTGCTGGGGAACCGCTCCCGGGCCTGGGTACGGTGGTGGCTGCTGCATGGTGTCTGGAACAATGAACCAATCCAATTACACTACACGTCTACACACAATGGCAACTGTTCTTCTAGATGAAACTAATATTTATTGATAGCAGAGAACCGCAACTGTTCTCTGTACATGAAAATGTTCAAACTTTGGGCCGTGGAGTAGCCTAGTTAAAACGTTAAGGCGTTTGCTTGTCACGCCGAAGACCCGGGTTCGATTCTCCACATGGGTACAATATATGAAGCCAATTTCTAGTGTCCCCCGCCATGATATTGCTGGAATATTGCTAAAAGCGGCGTACAATTAAGGGCAACCCAACATTATAATTATGAACCGTGTTGATACTTCCGAAGAGAAATCATTATGTATATATTTATGAGAGAATGTCAACGGTAGAGAATAACTGATCCCGATTGTCTGCCTAAACAGTTTCCATTGGGCGTGAAAGACAAAATGGCGGTGAAATATATGATTTGATCACTGAAAATCAATGAGGACACCAGGTGTTCACGAAAATGGTAAGGGTAGTCCTATTGCACGTATAAAGTACAGTAGGCTTTACTGAACATTAATGACGGGGCTGGACTTTTCAGATGGGAAACTTTTTGATTGGTCGGCCATTAAATCGTGATTTCGTCACACTGAAAACCCGGGTTCGATTCCCCACATGGGCACGTTGCGTGAAGCCCATTTCTGGTGTCCCTCCGCATGATATTGCTTGAATATTGCTAAAAGCGTCGTAAAACCATACTCGCTCACTTACTCACTAAATCATATCTAACTTGCAGCTGCGACAAGTCTGACAAAAAAAATCTAAATTAAAATTTCAACAACGACGATTGATACACACAGACAAGAGGGAGTTGCCAACGGCTCCCGCACGAAAGTTTAATCAGTTAAGTCAAATCAAATACAAATCGGATTTGCGTCTCTGCCGTGCTTTGTTCGCCCCAGTAACATAATATAACGTCGCCGTATAGGCATTCAGAACCATGCTGAGAGTGCACATGGGCAGGAATATGAGCCGATTGTATTCATGCGACACAATGGATTGCATGCCAAAATATAATATATTCAGACACAACATATAAAAAAACACATAGCTACATGTTGGTTCTTTACAGTAGGATGTGTTACATATCTAGTTTCTTTTATTGAAGAATATCCAGGTATATGGCGGAGGTCTGAAAGCAGTCGAGTCTGGGCGAGACAACATGTGTGTGACACAATGAGCATCGATCTATGCATTTGAGATACGATCATATCCAGTGATACGAGCCTGACCACCCGGCCCTAGTCGCCTCTTCTCTTAAATTGAGAACTGATGCATGACATGGGAGCTTACCATTTGTTGTGAATATTGAAAGGAATAAAAAGCTTCCCGCGAATAATGCCGTCGAACGCTTTGTTCTGATTACAGGTAAACTGTATGTACTTGTATGTCTGCATTTGTTCTTGCCATCGCCGTGCCGTGCCTTACCAGTAGCACCCACCGCTCGCACATGGACAGTGCAATGTGGCAAGTAGTGTACACGAAGGTTATACAAGTTACCAGGGGCGCAGCTACCATTATAAAAAAAGCCCGGACTTACATATGATTTTTGCAACAAAAAATACAATTTCAAATTCCTGCTAAAATACCTCAAATACTACCTTAATATAAAGCTTTGCAACCTATCGGGCTTACACGAAAAAATGGAGAAAAAAAAACCCGCGCCTGGTTACGGTACCTTCTGTTGTGCACTGTAAACATCTCATGAATAGTGCATTGTGGCAAAGGTTGTACATGTAGGTTATACAACCTACCGCATCTTCTGTTGTGCACACTCAGAACATATATAGATCTCATGAATGGTGCAATGTGTCGAATATTGTACACGTACGTTATAGAAGCTACGTCGCCTTCTGTTGTGCACACTCAGAACATATATACATCTCATGAATGGTGCAATGTGTCGAATATTGTACACGTCCGTTATAGAAGCTACGGTGCCTTTTGTTGGCACCATCAGAACATATATAGAGCTCAAGAATGGTGCAATGTGTCGAATATTGTACACGTGCGTTACAGAAGCTACGGCACCTTCTGTTGTGCACACTCAGAACATATATAGATCTCATAAATGGTGCAATGTGTCGAATATTGTACACGTACGTTATAGAAGCTACGTCGCCTTCTGTTGTGCACCATCAGAACATATATAGATCTCATGAATGGTGCAATGTGTCGAATATTGTACACGTACGTTATAGAAGCTACGTCGCATTCTGTTGGCACCATCAGAACATATATAGAACCCATGAATTGTGCAATGTGTCGAATATTGTACACGTCCGTTATAGAAGCTACGGCGTCTTCTGTTGTGCACACTCAGAACATATATAGATCTCATGAATTGTGCAATGTGTCGAATATTGTACACGTACGTTATAGAAGCTACGGCGCCTTCCATTGTGCACCATCAGAACATATATAGATCTCATGAATGGTGCAATGTGTCGAATATTGTACGTCCGTTATAGAAGCTACGGCGTCTTCTGTTGTGCACACTCAGAACATATATAGATCTCATGAATTGTGCAATGTGTCGAATATTGTACACGTACATTATAGAAGCTACGGTGCCTTCTGTTGCCACCATCAGAACATATATAGATCTCATGAATGACGCAATGTGTCGAATATTGTACACGTACGTTATAGAAGCTACGGCGCCTTCTGTTATGCACCATCAGAACATATATAGATCTCATGAATGGTGCAATGTGTCGAATATTGTACACGTCCGTTATAGAAGCTACGGCGTCTTCTGTTGCCACCATCAGAACATATATAGATCTCATGAATGGTGCAATGTGTCGAATATTGTACACGTCCGTTATAGAAGCTACGGCGTCTTCTGTTGTGCACACTCAGAACAAATGACACTCAGACGTAGTTATCTTGTTATTCGATAAGTGCACAGCTAGCTCCGTCGTCTGCCAATGTACAGCAGTGCCATGGGCTTCATGATAGTAATGCACACTGATATCAAGGTGATTATCTCAAGCAGGGCAGTTGTGCGCTCCACCCCTTTCTTTGTTCACACGGGTGAGCATTCATGCTTGGATTGGCAAACTTTAAGGGAGGAGATAAAGATGAGATGTTAATGGAGGCCTTCATGGCGGATACGAATTTGGGACATGATATGAATGCGTGAGTATTAATATTGTTTTATGCCGTTTTTAGCAATATTCCAGCAATATCACGTCGGATGACACCAGAAATGGACTTCACACATTGTAGAGTGGGGAGCCCGGGTCTTGTCGTGACGAGTGAAGGCTTTAACCACTTGGCTAATCCCTTTTCCCTATATGTTTAACCTGTGTGGGTTTTTTTATCAATTACCTGTCTTTCAATAAATATTAAATAGTCTTCCATTGGTAGTTCTCTATTCCAATTATTCGGGTGAATAATTGACTTTCCTTTGAAAGTGTTTGTGACAGGTGACACGTGTAGGGCATTCAACTAGTGCGTTATCGTTAAAACATCCTTACACGTATGTAACAGCCGAAACAATATTGTGATATCTTGTGATCGTGGAATTACCACAGGCCTGTGTAGTGAGTATACTTATACTTATACGTCAGAATACATAACATATACAGTGTAGATGCAAGGTCAAGGAGAGTACTGTACAAGGTACAGTCCCGACAAAGCACGATTTACAAACAATCAGGGCGAACGTACATTATGAAAGCCTGACCACTGATCATCCCCGGACATTGATCATCCCCGGACATGGATAGAGAGCTGGGCCTAGATCTTCGAAGCTCTCTTAGGGCTAACATAGTCGTAAGGCCATACATTAACATTAACTTACGACTATCTTAGCGCTAAGAGAGCTTCGAAAATTTAGGCCCTGCTGTGTCATCCATGACAAATGGGATATTACCATAAAACACGTATGATCTTTTCATAGAAAGTTAATTTTTACGTTCCTGAGCTTCCCACTTTTTGAATAAATTATTCTATTTATTACTTGTTGTCAGTCTAAGAAGGAAAATGAGGAAAAACGCGGAGACCATGGAATGCAGATTGAATGAATGCAGTGTATTGTCCTTATTTTGTAATGTCACAGATTTATGACATCATGGACGAAGTTGTATTGTAGTAATATCCTCTTCTTGTAAGAAGTTCTGGAGGGGAGTGCAAATGACAACTGTTTGTAGATTACATTACTTCTAGAGCTACACGACCCGTGTTCCGGGTAAGAAGAAGCTTTTTTTATAAATAATTTCATTTCTGTCATTGCTGAAGGTATTATAATCATTTGTGTTGCGTCATAATTGAATAGGTTCATGTACAAGACTACTGGCAAACAAGGATAAGTTGAGCACCGACCTGACAATTGACCCGTATTAGCATGTGTGAGTGCCGCCCACTGGCGCTTGCCATTGTTAGGTTGTCCGCGATCAAGTGTAGTGCAGCTACGCGCGGAATAAATTTCATCGTCATGTAATGCACGTGCACTAGCCTACATCTGCTCTCCCTTTCACAAACCAAATGGGGTTGCTCACTGCCGTGCACCGCCTACTTCTCGTAAACGCGTTCTCTGCGCCGGTCCAGCTTATCCTTGTTTGCCAGTAGGTATGTTAACGGCATGTATTATACATTCTACACATGCAAGAACCCAATTTCATATTAATTGGCGAGACCTGGCGTATAAGATTTCCACTTGGTCGGTATTATTGGCACACGCATTCCTTTACTTACGGTTTACCCGTGAAGATCCGGGTTACACTTTGCCTTCAGTAACTCATGCATGTCGCAAGAGGCGACTAACGGGATCGGTTAGTCAGGGTCAGTGCTATGGTTGACACATGACATCGTATCACAAGTGCAAGACTGATGGCCATGCTGTTGATCACTGGATTGTTTGGTCCAGACTCGATTATTTACAGGCCGCCGTCATATAGCCCCACTACGCAATGCGAGTGCGGAAGGTCGCGGGTTCGATCCCCGACCGCGTCATACCAAAAGACGTTAAAATATGGTACTTGTTGGTCCCTGCCTGGCGCTCGGCATTAATGGGTACAACAAGGACTGGTCGACTCGGAGCCAGTATAATGTGTCTGAGTGGGGTATTCATGCTTCACTGCGGCATGGTATCTCAGTGGGCTAGCACTATAAAACCAGCTTAAGTCTGGGCTAGTACACATACACACGCATGCACGTCGTCATATGAGCGAAATATTCTCAAGCACGACGTTAAACCCAATTCCACCACCATCACTATCACCACCACTACCACCACCACCACCACCACCACCACCACCACCACCACCACCACCACTACCACTACCACCACCACTACCACCACCACCACCACCATCACTATCACTACCACCACTACTACGCAATGCTACATGTGGTCTTAAACAACAGACAAACAGAACCTGAACTATCAAAATCTGGAGCTACATCTACCGATGTACCGTTCATCCAATGAATAGTCTTCGAAATGAAATTGAAATCCAGATATTACGCTTCATCGAAAACCATTAATTAGTTTTGTCAATGCCCCAGTCTCACTCCACAGAGATTAACCAAGCCTGAACTAATTCAACAGTTACCAAATCCGACAGTGACATATTTCAACAGTAAATAAAAAACCGTCAGTGCAAAAAATATACCCAGTCGTGACTGTCATCAGAAATAGGCTCCCATTGGTGCAAAGGGCAAAAACAGCAGTGAAATGATATAAACGGACCACCTAAATCAACGATAACACTTGCGCTCGCCAAAACGGCAATCATGTTCTCCCACAACGATAGCCCGCTCTGTTACGACTGCACAGTAATACCTGTATATTTTTTCAATCGATACAAATTACAATATTGTTTCTGAGAACCGATATTTTGGGTAAAAATATATGAAGTACATCTATGGATTAAGTTAACAACTACTTTCATTCTCTACTGATGTTTCCCATCGAAATCGATTGACAAAACGGCAAACATTACATACTATAAACTGTATAAAAAGGAAAATAGAATCCCTCACTATGCATCCTTATTTTGAGACTACTGTTATCATAGCCAATTAACATATATTTTTATAGGTCTTAATATGTAGAAAATATGGTCTGCATGTACAATCAGTGTCGGGGAGGCGGGGCAGACTAGTGGTTAATGTGTTCGCTCGTCACGCCGAAGACCCGGGTTCGATTCCCCACGTGGATACAATGTGTGAAGCCCATATCTGGTGTCCACCGCCGTGATTTTGATGGAATATGGCTAAAAACGGCGTAAAACTAAAACTCACTTACTACAATAAGTGTCACTCACGTGCAATACGTATTTCAACACGGATACCCATAATCGCAATATGTAGCAAAGAAATTATTTGAAAATACATTAAATTAAATTTGCCTAAAGCTAAGTATCTGCAGTCCGATGTCCTCCTGCCTTGCGACAATCCAGACAATGAAGTAACCCAGATGTTGAGGGCTCTGACCAATCACATGTTATCTTTTGAAGTCTGATTCTATATTTACCTCAAAACTGGTGGAGGTTAAGGGGTCATCGCAACAGAGTCATGCAATGTCGTTAATAACGTGCGTGTCCTTCAACCTCCTGTAAACTACCCACAGGTTTTGGGTGCTACATTCCTGTACATTTCTCTGTTTTTCTTGATGTAATCCTGTCCACTCAGTTTGATCGATGATATAATAAGATTAACACACCTTAACGTTATTGATAATTACGATAACATATACTAGTATTCTAGTAAACTGATGCTGCAAAGAAAGGTATGGCAAGCCGTTTTCACATTTATTAAGAAATTATTGATATCGTCAATTATTTCAAAGATACCGGTATTCAAGATATGTTGAAATAAGTTATATATATCATTACAGATACTTCTAATTCAATTAGAATTATCGTGAACTCAATTAGAGACATCTTCAATTCTGGCCATTACTGATCTTTAAATTCAAATTAAAGATATTGATAATGTGTAAAGACATCTTCATGTCCGTTATTGATATCTGTAATACAAGAAACAGGAAAGAAAGATAAAAAAAGTATCTCTATTCGAGATATCTTCTATACAATTTAAGATACCACTATTTTCATTCAATATAACTTTAAAACACTATCAGTATTTTTTCGGTACTTTATGTCCATTTGAAATATCTAAATATAACTCATTTCAAGATGTCTCCAATTGAATTAAACTATTTTTAACTAACTAAAGATATCTGTATTTAATTTCAAGATATCAGGAACTGAACTACGGATATATACTCTCCCCAAAAAGAAACGCATATAGGAATTTCAACTGTATTTTTATGTTTATTTTGAAACATCTTGTAGGCTTTATGAGTCAATGAAATATAGCGAAATTGCACACTGGGAATGCAGACTTATCCGTCTTTGGCACCAACTCGAGGAAAATCAGTTTGAGAGTCACATGGAGAAGTGTGGTGGCGCTGAAGTCAATACCTCGTGTGACCACCGTGGGCATCCAGAACTGCACGGCATCGCCTCGGCATCGAACGAATAAGTCTCAGAATCTCGTGTTGCCCAATCGCAGCCCACTCTGCCTGTAGTGCCTGTGCGAGTTGCTGAAGTGTCTGGGGCTGAGGGTTACGGCGTCGCACCCGTCTGTCCAGGGCATCCCACATATGTTCGATCGGGTTTAAGTCCGGTGAGGTTGAGGGCCAGGGGAGCACATTGATGTTGTGGTTCTGGAGGAAGTCTCTAGTGTGACGTGCTGTGTGGGGCCTGGCATTGTCCTGTTGAAACAACTCCCTCTGGAGATCAATGATTGGAAGGAGGTGTGGGCGTAGGATTTCGTCACAGTACCGTTGGGCTGTCAGGTTGCCCTGGATCATCACCAAATCACTTCTCCTACGGCAGGTGATCGCTCCCCACATCATAACACTGTCCCGGCCGAATCTGTCCATCTTGGGAACGCAAGCGTCGGCGAAACGTTCACGTCAACGTCTGTACACCCGCATTCTTCCATCGTGTCGTTCCAATAGAAATCGTGATTCATCACTGAATCAGATTCTACGCCAATTCGGTAGGTTCCAGGCCCGAACGTTGGTGCACCATTGAACTCGATGTCGACGATGTTGTTGTCGAAGCACAGGGCCAAAATTCTTGCACGTAAACCAGCCTCTCTCAACCTGCATCTGACGGTCT